CACGGTGCGCCGCTGCCCTCTCTCCTCCTCTTCCTCCTCCTCTCGCCTCTCAGTTCCCCCTCTCCCCTCCCTTCTCCACGCAGCGACTCCTTTGTGCCTCCTCCAGTCCTCACCTCGGCCTCTCCGATCCCAATTAGTCGGTTTCAAGGGGGCCCCCGCTGGCGGCCCCGCCCTCTCTTCAGCCCCCCAAAAAAGGGATACTTGAAACCGCCCCGTCGAGTTCTAAGCACCATCCCAAAATGTGCTCTCCGCCAATCAGATTTAAACCCAAGGACCAGCCCCGAGGGCTGGATTGGTCCACCACAACATAATGAGATCAGAAACCAGATGCCAACAAAACTTACCCCCCCTCTTTTTGCTTTTTAAAGAGACAAGCTATTATTACATTAAGGGCTATTTGCCCAGCCCGGGATTTCTCCGGAGTCGCCGCGGCCAGATCCGGAGAAACACATTCCCCAGAGCTGCTAGACTCCAGCGTCTCAAAGCTGGATTACTCAGCTTGCTGGGAGCCCAGGCACTTTGCTGGGAGCCCAGGCACTCTGCTGGGTAGGGGTTCTTTAAATCCTTGCCTCCGCCTCCCGCTTCTCAAATCCACCTATTTCAGTCCGATTTTTCTAATCAAATGAAAATTCTCAAGTTGAAAAACTTCTATTAAGGACATTTTTTTTTTTGAAACTTGGGGTCGAACCCAGGGCTTTGCGAATGCAAGGCAGACGCTTTGCCACTGAGCTACATCCCAGCTCTATTAAGGACTTCTAACAATTTACAAAGACTTCTCTCAGATTTCTCATGGAGTCCGGGCAAAAGTTTCACTTCACCCTACTCGCAGACCATAAGAGTGCGCCTCGCCCCTCCCCCTACACACACCCTTAAATAACCCTCTGAAAAAATGAGAGCCTGTCTCTTTAAGAGGCTCTTAAAGGGGCCCGGACTCCAGGGCGTAATTGCCCCGCAGCGAGCACAAAGGAGCCCATTATGGTTCTTTGTGTTCGGTGGCACCTCAAAGTGAGAAAACTCAAGAACTCCGAGGCCGGGAGCTAGAGGGTTGGGGGTTGGGGAGCCCGAGGTGAAGGAGAATGGCCGGGAGCTAGCAGCTTCAATCTCCCCCTTCTTCCGAGGCAAATCTTAATTATGCTAAGTAAAGTTTAGTTGCCATAAGGAGAAGGTCTTAATCGAAAGTTAATGGTTGGGGGTGGGGGATGATGGGCAGTTTTGAGTGAAGAAACGACTCTCTTAGGTCTGGCGAACGTTTGGGGGAATTTTCCTTCTCCCTCCCCACCTCTGCTCCGCCTCCGAAAAGCTTCCAGAGTTCGTCTCCAGAGAGAAAGGGGAGTTTTACCCGAACCTTAAGTGATTCCGCAACAGAAAGGGGTGGCGTGTGTCACTAGGGAGGAGGCTGGAGGCCGGGGGTTGGGGGCTGGGGAGGATTATTCCCTCCTCCCTCTCACCTGGTTGGGGGGTGGGAGGTGGCCAGGAGGCTAGCTTCTAGTTTGCATTGCTCCCCACTTCTAGGATTTTAAGTTTGAGAGGAAAGTCTGGGGCCGAGAGGGGAATTTGCATATAAATCTCTTGGGTCTAGTACTGAATGATGGATCAATTATTTCTGTTGTCTGTCGGAAGGAAAGGGAAGGGGGAATTTAAAAGAAGAAAGAAAATTGAGTTTAGAAAGCCCCTTTGCTTCTTAGTATGGGCCAAATCCTCCCAGCCTGGAAAGCTGTTTCCTGTTCCAATCTAGAAAAAGATTGCTTAAAAAAAAAAAAAA